GGAGGAGGAGGAGGAGGAAGAGAAGGAGGATGAGGAAGAGGAGGAGGAGATGATAATGATGATGAGGAGCAGCAGCAAGAAGATGAGGAGGACGGGAGGAGGAAGAGAAGGAGGAGGAGGATGATGACGATGACGATGATGCCGATGCTGATGATGCTGATGATGATGATGATGCTGCTGCTGATGATGATGATGATTAGTATGATGATGATGATTATGATGCTTATGATGATGCTGATGATGATGCTGCTGATGATGATGGTGATGATGGTGATGCTGATGATGATGAGGAGGAGGAGGAATATGAGGAGGAGGATAATGATGATGAGTAGGAGGAGGGGGAGGAGGAGGAGGAGGAGGAGGATGGGGAGGAAGAGAAGAAGGAGGAGGAGGAGGCGGAAGAGAATGAGGAATAGCAGGAGATGGAGGAGGAGGAGGAGGAGGAGGAGGAGGAGGAGGAGAAGGAGGAGGAGGAGGAAAAGGAGGAGGAGGGGGAGGGGGGAGGGGAGGAGGGGGAGGAGAAGAAGGAGGAGCAGCAGCAGCAAGAGGAGGAGTAGGAGAAGGTGGAGCAGGAGGAGGCGGAGGAGGAGGAGGAGGAGGAGGAGGAGGAGGAGGAGGAGGAGGAGGAAGAGAAAGCGCAGGAGGAGGACGAGGAGTAGGAGGAGGATGAGGAGGAGTAGGAGGATGATGAGGGGGAGGAGGAGGAGGAGGAGAAGGAGGAGGAGGCGGAGGAGGAGGAGGAGGAGGAGGAGGAGGAGGAGGAGGAGGAGGAGGGGGAGGAGGAGGAGGAGGAGGGGGAGGAGGGGGAGGAGGGCGGAGGAGGAGGATGAGGAGGAGGAGGAGGAACAGGAGGAAGAGGAGGATGGGGGGGGCAAGAGGAGGAGAAGGAGGAAGAGGAGAAGGAGGAGGGGGGAGGGAGGAGGAGGAGGAGGAGTTTTTCCAGTGCGCCGCTGCCAACCAACCTTCAGTGCAAGAGATGCAGGGGATGCCTGGCAGGGAAAATAAAGTCACGCAACCCAGCTCAAGGAGGTCTTGGAGGGCGGGAGGCCCTTGCAAATACGCTGTAAAACCTCGAGCTGGTGCTTAGTAATGGCATGCGGGCCAAAGGCGGCCACAGGACAGGGCTCCCGCAAGGATTCAGGGCGAGCTATTGCCCAGGAGCCGCATTCACCGCAAAAGGTGAAATCACCTTTATGCCACAGCACGTGCGAAGGGTGGACCGCCTTGCCAGCGACCCATGGCTCAGCTCTCTCGGGGGGCGGGTCGAGCCTCAGGCGGCGCCAGAGGGAGTCATCCCTGGCGGCCAGGGCCCGACCTGGCCTCACCCACTTTTTGACAGGGACCTCCTCCACCTCCACCGACTCCAGGCCCCCAGCTCCACCACCTCCATAGGCAGGGCAAGCAAAGCGGAGCCTCGCGCGGAGCGATGGGGCAGCGTCGGAAATCGAGGCCTTGCACCTGTCACACGTCCAGAAGCCAGACACAAACTCCCAAACGTGCGACGAACACCTAACATCGGCTTCGATCCACCGCCGCCTGCGGAGCAGGAGGAGGAGGAGGAGGAAGAGGAGGAGGAGGAGGAGGAGGAGGAGGAGGAGGAGGAGGTGGAGGAGGAGCAGGAGGAGCAGGAGGAGGAGGAGGAGAGCAGGGGAGAGGGGAGGAGGAGGAGGAGGAGGAGGAGGAGGAGGAGGAGGAGGAGGAAAATGAGGAAGCGAAGCAGCACGATGAGGCGTACAAGGAGGAGGAGGAGGTGGAGGAGGAGGAGGAGGAGGAGGAGGAGGAGAAGGAGGAGGAGGAGGAGAAGGAGGAGGAGGAGGAGGATGGGGAGGAAGAGAAGAATGAGGAGGAGGCGGAGGAGACGGAGGAAGAGCAGGAGGAGGGAGGAGGAGGAGGAGGAGGAGGAGGAGGAGGAGGAGGAGGAGGAGGAGGAGGAGGAGGAGGAGGAGGAGGAGGAGTTGCTGGCACCCCTTCATCGTTCGCCTCGCGCTTTTTTAGCCTTATGCGCCCGGCGCGCGCTTGTGGCGCGCAGCGCCGCCAGGGGCCCGCGCGGTGCGGCGGAAGGCGCGCGGCAGAGGCGGAGGCCCTCGGCCTGTTCCCGGGAGGGTGCCCTGCGGCGGGCCGCGCGAGAAGCATCGCCTTCTTGGAAGGCCGGCCCATCTGCTCCACCCCACCCTGGTAGAGGCGTGCTCCGAGTCGATGGGGTCGGAGGATCGCGTCGCATCGCCGATGCATCGGCGAGATGCATCGGCGACGTCGGCGTGCAGACAATCAGGCTCCGCGTTGAGCCGCATCGGCGATGCATCGGCGATGCGGCGCGATCCCCCGACCCCATCTACTGGGAGGCCTCGACCTTGGCGCGCCGCCGAGTGACTGCGGGGCCTCTGGGGATAACCACCGGATGTGTAAACGCCGCCCCCCCTCTGGCGTGCCGCGGTGCTCCGGCTGGTCTCCCGCCGCTCTGTCGGGACGGCCCTGCTCGCGAGAGCAGCGGTGCCTGAGGCCCGAACGTGCGCGGGAACCCGAGCCCGGAGTCTGCAGCCTGGGCCTCAGCCTACCATGGAGGCTGTGAGCGCACACGGCTGGACTCACACGCGAGACATGCGGAAGCCGCGCTCGGCAAGCACGCGCGGGCGGCCGGCGCATCCGTGCAGACGGGGGCCGAGCGCTGGAAAGACCGGCGTCCCCGTGCGTATCCCGGCCTCGTACAGGCCAGCCACGTCAAGCGTGTTCAGATTCCAAATGGGCCAACGCCGAAACCAAGGCCTGAACCCGAACCTGAGCTCAGCGCCTGGCCGTTCTAGCCAGGCCTCCAGCGAGTTGTGCCGCCGCTTCCCAGGCCAGTCGCGAGTGCTGGACAATCTCGGGATTTGCTGCCTGCTTCGCCGTAGGCGACTGGTGGAAAGGCCTTGCTCAAAGCGTGGAGAATGTCAGAACGATCCCTGACCACTCTCTCTCCTACATTCCCCTCCAACCCTGCTGGTCACTACCGCATGGCCATCAGAGACTGCACTCACGGTCCGCCACGTTCACGACCGTCCTGGGCTGCAACGCTGCACGGAGAGCGCGCGAAAAGTGACGGAGTCTTGCCGCCTATCCCGACTCTGCACTCAAACTTTTATCGACGCTCTGGCCCCCTCCGCTGCTCCTTCAGATGAGATCACATCCGGGCCAATTCTGGCGATGCACAACTTCGCGGCCGATAATCAGTTCGTACAACTTCACGCGCACGTCAAACACGCTGGTACACACGGAAATGCAAGTTCCCACTAGCGGACAACTCAGGACGGCACTCACACTTCAAACTTGGAACATGCATACACATGCACGCATGCACGCACCATGCAAAAGCATCGAGATCGTGTAAGAGCAAATAGCCACGCAGCAACGTCCAGCATGCCACGTGAGAGGCACCGAAAACGCCGAGAGGACAAGTAGGAGAAACACATAAGGAGAATGGCAATCGGTGACCGTTCCTATGTGCAAAAGGGCCCTGAGGCCCCTCACCTCCTGTGCCACGCTCTCGATCAGCGCCGCCTCTTCCCTCTCTTGCTCGATCCTGGCGGTGTCGGGAGAAGACCGCCGCATAGCAGAGGGACCGACCACGGCAAGTACAGGCGAAACGTAACCACAGTAACGTGAGTCAAGATGTTCAGCCCCTGCGCCGAAGGCCTCATGAGTAGATCCAGCTCGAGCATCATTCCGAGGTGGAAAACTTTGAAACCTGAAGGGCACAGGGCTACCCCTCCGAAGCTGGGTGTGCTCTAAACCCTATGTCAAGTGTAGATGGCCTGTGATCACGAAAGCCAAGACCAGGATATTGGCATCTCGTGCGAATCGAACACGGGCTTCTTCCTTGGGGTCTCCTAAGCACGTCAATTCTTGTTCCCTCATGCCGTTATAGGCAATCAAACATGATGCTTGGCATGCGCATGCGATGTGGAGGGACATGTACGATGCTGGCGCTGGTCTGTCTTCGCCCGGCATCGGAGGGACGAGGACGAGGAGGGAGAGAACATAGGGAGGAAGGACAATGACCTCTGTGACGGGGCAGTGTTCGCACACCCTTTACGTACATATATGCACATCAGAAGCAGCCAATGTGACAAGGGAAGAAGCTTCAGCCAGATAATTACTGACAGCAATTGCATCGACGTGCTTTGTTCGTCTCGCCTGTTCGTCCGAACTGCAAAGAACGGACCTATCCAAGGTCGACCTTCAGTGCGGGGTTTTATGGCGCTAACTGAAGGGGGGGAAACCAAGCGCGCCAGCCAATGTCGGGGAGGGAGCCCAGTGGGCCCGCAAAAACGATCACTCTGGCGAAGTGTCACTCGCACGCGCAGCCAGAAAGACTGTTGCTCTCCTCGTCTGGCTCGACCGCCCTAGCTCGATGCGACAGCAGCCCCCGCGGCAGACTTTCTGGTGAAGGGTCACTCTTACGCGCAGCCGAACTAGCCGCATCGATGTGCTATCTTCGGCCTGCTCGATTGTCTCACGGCTGATTCCCGTGATGTCCACTTCTACGTTGGTCTCTGACACCGCGTGGATCCCTCAACCATGAGCGATCGCGGCTGTCCGAAAGCGCAGATCGTTGAATATCGGATATCGGCCGATTCTTTGCCATCCGCGGCGTTCATTCAACCTGGCACGAACCTGCAGCGACTCGATCTGAACTCGATCGGAGGGTGGGGAGGAGGAGGAAGAGGAGGAGGAGGAGGAGGAGTGGGAGGAGGAGGAGGAGGAGGAGGAAGAGGAGGAAGAGGAGGAGGGGGGGGGGGGCTCCAGGTGGCCCCCAAGCCCAGGCCAGCCAGATGGGATCGAAGGGGACTGGCTGACCCCAGTCAGCGCTGACCCCCCTGGCTCGTTCCAGACACCTTGAAGCCAAGACAAGTTGTCATTTCTTGGGTGCGAGGAGGCAGAGGAGGAGGAGCCGGAGGAGGAGGAGGAGGAGTGTTTCCGTCGGCCTCTGACGAGGCGCCTGCCCCCGCCTTTTCTTCCACCACCTCCTGCCAGGGATGAGGCTTCAACCCCCCCCGACCCCTCGAACGGGGATCGACCTAGACAATGTTTTTTGTTCTCGTTTTGTTTTCGTGTTCCCTCGTTTTGCCTCCAATCCGCATTTGCTGCAAAACGGCATCAAAACGAAAACGGCCCAAGAAATCGCCAAAACAACGTTTAGGTCGACCCCTGCCCTCGAAAGCGAGACCCATTCTGGAACGGCCCTAGTGGCTCCCAGATCCGGTCCAGCCACAGGAGATCACAGGGGATTGGCCACCTAGAGGCTTCCCAAAAAATGCCGAACGGCTTCGGAGAATCCTCGAACCTCGTCGGTGCTGACCTCCGCCACGCGTGCTCCGAGCCCCCGCGAAAGGATGATGATGATGATGATGATGATGATGATGATGATGATGATGATGATGATGATGATGATGATGATGATGATGACGATGCTGATGATGATGACGATGATGAGGATGATGAGGATGATGAGGATGATGATGCTGCTGCTGATGATGATGATGGCGATGATGATGCTGCTGATGCTGATGATGGTGATGCTGATGCTGATAATGCTGACAATGATGATGATGATGATGATGATGATGATGCTGATGTTGATAGTGATGATGATGATGATGATGATGATGATGATGATGATGATGATGATGATGATAATGATAATGATGCTGATGCTGACGAGGATGAGGATGATGATCCTGATGATGATGATGATGATGATGATGATGATGATGGTGAGGATGCTGATGATGCTGATGCTGACAATGATGATGATGGTGATGATGATGAGGAGGATGAAGAGGAGGAGAAAGAGGAGCGAGGAGCGAGGAACAAGAGGAGCGAGGAGGAGCGCCAGCACCATGACGAATTCGATGTCTCGCGATACTCTAATCCGAGCTGCTGGTTTCAGACAACTGTAGGCAAGAGCAGCCTCAGGCGGAGGAGGAAGCACAGAGGATGAGGAGGATGAGGAGGATGAGGAGGAGGAGGAGGAGGAAAAGAAGGAGGTGGAGAAAGAGGAGAAGGAGGGGGAGGAGAAGGAGGAGGAGTAGGAGGAGGAGCAGGAGGAAACTGATAGGAGGGGGGGGAGGAAGAGGAGGAGGAGGAGGAGGAGGAGGAGGAGGAGGGGGAGGAGGAGGAGGAGGAGGAGGAGGAGGAGGAGGAGAAAACATGTGAGTGCTGGATGAGGAGGAGGAGGAGGAGGAGGACGAGAAGGAGGACGAGGAGGCGGTGGAGGGGTGGAGGAGGAGGAGCAGGAGCAGGAGGAGGAGGAGGAGGAGGAGGAGGAGGAGGAGGAGGAGGAGGGAGGAGGAGGAGGAGGACGAGGAGCGAGGAGGAGCGATGGTTTTTCCTCCACCCAGCAGAGGTCTGGCCACTGGGGCCAACTTGAAACGGGCCCGAAACCTAGCGGGGAGAAACTGGAGCCATGCGAGCTCCGTGCAGCAGTCCCAAGAGGGGCCAATGAGCAATAATCCTATCCTCATTCCCGTGCTTGGGGTGCTTGCTCTGCAGAAACCGGCGCAACTTGTGCTGTGCTGCCTCATTGCGCTTCCACCCAGGGATCCCAAAACTGGGACAAACCTTGCCGAGGCCCAGTGGTTTCGTGGAAGCGTACTGGCAGCACTTCTTGCAGAACAACAAGGTGTCACCCACCTCGGCCTCAGGCCGCGGGGTGAGCTCACACCACTCAATATCGTGTGTGTGTGTGTGTGTGGGCGAATTCGGTCACACACTGAAAGCTGGGCGATTATCAAGAGCCCGTGCTGCCACGCGTTCCCCGAGACCCTGAGTGGTAAGGTCAGGGGGAGATCGGCTCAAGGGGGAAGTATCGCCTCTGGAATCAGCGATGCACACCCGACAGATCGGCGACAGGCTCCCGATAGCGTGTCCGCACGCTCCTGGGCGAGGTGTCTATCGGGCCCCTATCAGAGATCAGTGGGCGATTGGGGGCCGATGCATCCCCGAATCGTCTGTTTCTCGTTCATGGAGGGAGCCCGTCCATAAAAAATCGTCCCCAGACTATTCTTGGACTATTTTTGAACATCCTTCCTGTAGAGGGACACGCCCGACTTAATCCGAACACCGCCCCTCGTGAGGCTGTCTCCCCCTAGCGCTGTTCCTAAGAGGTTCCCGTGCTCAATTGGCCGCGGAAACGGCGGGGCCGTTTTTTCACCGTTTCCGGAAACAAGGCCTCTAGAAATTATGGAAGCGGTGCCAGGCCGGCGACCGGGAACGGCAACAAACACGGCTCCAGGAGAGGACCGGGAACTTGACCAGAGAAGAAAACGGCGACGGGACCGGGACCAACAACGAAATCAGAACCAGCAAAACAAACTGCCAAACATAACCTCGAGTAGGAGATCGACTACACAATTTACTTACCCCAGGTTGGCTCTCGTCGAATCTACGGAAGACGCGTAACATGCTCGTAGATCTGCGAACGTGCTGCGTATGTTTGTCTTAGGTGAGGCGGGGAAGGAATTTGGGCTTGCATCAATTCTGTAGTCGATCTCCTACTCGAGAACTGGTAGAACCACGGCCCTGTCGCTTCCATGGCCCTCTCTCTATATATATATATATATATATATACACATGTGTATGCATATACATTTATATAGATATGTGTGCGTATCTTCTTATGTATGTATGTATATATATAAATATATATGTATATGTACAAAGCCCCGTGCCCCGAGGATCCCGCAGCAGAGCGCCGTCCCGTCCTGCACGCCCGCGCCCCCCCGCCGGGCGGGCTGCCCGCGGCGCTGGCGCCGCCCAGGGGACCTCGCGGGCGCCGTCGTCGTCGTCGTCGTCGTCGTCGTCGTCGTCGTCGTCGTCGTCCTCGTCGCGACGGTCGCGGTCGCCGTCGGCGGCGTCAGCGTCGTCGCTGCCAAGAGGAAGAGAAGACGAGATGCTGAGGAAGAGGAGGAGGAGGAGCAACATAATCCCGCGGCAGGAATTGCACAGTATACGCACAGGCCTGGAAAGGGACATGCGCTAGCTTACAGGGCTACGCGTCGCCTTCAGTGCGATCATTCCGCCTTGCGCTAGAGCTCAAAACAGTATAACTCGCTAGGTTTCCACCTTGTGACCAGTACTTGCACGCAGGATGGCCCGCGGTTAGCAGCAGTGGGTGGGTGTCAGCACCTTGGCCCGAGATCAGAAGACGAATAATGATGGTAATACTAATCTCACGCAGATAAGAATGATCAAAGTGAGCCCGAGGTGAGTCAACAATACTGCAGCACGCCCTTCCGTCCTAAGCCATTCCCGCACAAATCCCAAATTACTTGAGACGTGCCCAACCCCTTCTCCACGCGAGGCGAATCTATACATACACATATATGTGTATACAAGACTGCATTGGCGCTTCGCGCCATGCACCTTGGTCGTTGAGGCTTTGCATATGTTGGTCCTTCGCGCCATCCCTAGTGACCTTAGAAATTTGGCCCCTTCCCTGCGGTGGTTTTCAAAGGTCTCCGAAACATCGGGCTGTCTCTGGCCCTCCCCGAATCTCTGGGGGCTCCTGAAACGCGCCGGGTGGAGGGCGAAGGATAGGAGGGAGGGAATCTCGGGGAGCGAGGAAGGGAAGCGGATGTGGGGGAGGACGAGTGGGGGAGCGGCAGAAAGAGGAGGAGGAGGAGGAGGAGGAGGAGGAGGAGGAGTAACAGGAGGAGGAGGAGGAGGAGGAGGAGGAGGAGGAGGAGGAGGAGGAGTAGGGCGCCGTCGGGGGACGGCGAAGAATGTTGCAGCGGGTTGCAGCGGGTCGCAACGGGGCACGCGAACGCAAGAAATTCTTAGGGAATGCACCCAATCCCGGGTTCGCAACAGATTTCGGGGATTTGTGGTTGCGAGCCTGGGATTCGGGTCAATTTGGTGGAAAACGCCGTGTGGACGCTGCTAAGACCCGAACAGCGAATGTGCTGAAAATGCACGCTTTCCTAAGGGAATGAAGCGATGTTTACGTTCTGGGAGTCCTGTTGAGGGCCTCCTGGGCCGACTTGGGGGCCTCTGGAGGCTATCTGGGTCCTTCTTGCAGCGCTCTTCTGCTGTCCTGGGTCTCTCTACGGCCTCTCTAATCACCGCTCTGATCGCTTCGGGGCCTTGTGAGGGACTGTTGGGCCTCTTTTGGCTCAGGCGCCGTCGGGGGACGGCGAAGAATGTTGCAGCGGGTTGCAGCGGGTCGCAACGGGGCACGCGAACGCAAATAATTCTTAGGAAATGCACCCAATCCCGGATTCGCAACAGATTTCGGGGATTTGTGGTTGCGAGCCCGGGACTCGGGTCAGTTTGGTGGAAAACGCCGTGTGGCCCTTGTTGGAGCCTTGCTGGGCCGGCCGGCTTTGGGCCGTCTTGAGCTGTCTCAGGGACATATTGGGCCGTGTTGGGGAGCGTGGGCCCTCTAGGGACCTTACGGGGGCTACGTAGGCCCTCCTGTTGGCCTCCCATGGCCTTTTGGGGGGCCTCCCATGGCCTTCTTGGGCTTTTCTTGGGGGCCTTGTGAGGGCCTGTTGGGTGTCTTTTTGGCGCATTTGGGGTTTCCGTGGGCAGCCTTGGGGCCGCCCAGGTCGTCTAGAGGCTCTCTTGGGGGTCTCGTGGGCCGTCTTGGGGCGAGGCATTCTTGGCTATTTTGGACGCTGCTAAGACCCGAACAGCGAATCTGCTGAAAATGCACGTTCACCTCAGGGAATGGAGCGATGTTTGCGTTCTGGGAGTGCTCTTGAAGGCCTCCTGGGCCGTCTTGGGGGCCTCTGGAGGCTATGTGGGTCCTTCTTTGAGCGCTCTTGGGCTGTCTTGGGTCTCTCTTCGGCCTCTGATCACCACTCTGATCGCTTCGGGGCCTTATGAGGCCTGTCGGGCCTCTTCCTTGGGCAGTCTTTGGGCCATCCATGCCGTCTTGAAGCTGTCTTGGGGGTCGCTTGGGCCGTCTTGGGGCGAAACCGGAGGCCTCCTTGGCTGTTTTGGACGCTGCGAAGACCCGAACAGCGAATCTGCTGTAAATGCACGCTTTCCTCAGGGAATGAAAAGATTTGTGCATTCTGGGGGCCCCGTTAAGGGCTTCCTCGGCCGTTTTGGGGGTTTCTGGAGGCCCTCTGGGTCCTTCTTGGAGCGCTTCTGCAATGTCTTGGGTCTCTCTTCGGCCTCTCAATCACCGCTCTGATCGCTTCGGGGCCTTGTGAGGGCCTGTTGGGCTTCTTTTGGGCTCAGTTGGGGCGTCCTTGGGTAATCTTGATGCCATGCATGCCGTTTTGAGGCTGTCTTGGGAGTTGTTTGGGCCGTCTTAGGGGCGAAACCGGAGGCCTTCTTGGCTGTTTTGGACGCTGCTAAGACCCGAACAGCGAATCTGCTGCAAATGCACGCTTTCCTCAGGGAATGAAAAGATTTGTGCATTCTGGGGACCCTGTTAAGGGCCTCCTCGGCCGTCTTGGGGGCCTCCGGATGCCCTCTGGGTCCTTCTTGGAGCGCCTCTGTAATGTCTTTGGTCTCTCTTCGGCCTCTCAATCACCGCTCTGATCGCTTCGGGGACTTGCGAGGGCCTGTTGGGCCTCTTGTTGGCTCAGTTGGGGCTTCCTTGGGCAATCTTGGGGCTATCCATGCCGTCTTGAGACTGTTTTGGGGGTCGCTTGGGCCGTCTTGGGGCGAAGCCGGAGGCCTTCTTGGCTGTTTTGGACGCTGCTAAGACCCGAACAGCGAATCTGCTGCAAATGCTTTCCTCAGGGAATGAAAAGATTTGTGCATTCTGGGGACCCTGTTAAGGGCCTCCTCGGCCGTCTTGGGGGCCTCCGGATGCCCTCTGGGTCCTTCTTGGAGCGCCTCTGTAATGTCTTTGGTCTCTCTTCGGCCTCTCAATCACCGCTCTGATCGCTTCGGGGACTTGCGAGGGCCTGTTGGGCCTCTTGTTGGCTCAGTTGGGGCTTCCTTGGGCAATCTTGGGGCTATCCATGCCGTCTTGAGACTGTTTTGGGGGTCGCTTGGGCCGTCTTGGGGCGAAGCTGGAGGCCTTCTTGGCTGTGTTGGACGCTGCGAAGACCCGAACAGCGAATCTGCTGCAAATGCACGCTTTCCTCAGGGAATGAACAGATTTGTGCAGTCTGGGGGCCCTGTTAAGGGCCTCCTCGGCCGTCTTGGGGGCCTCCGGAGGCCCTCTGGATCCTTCTTGGAGCGCTTCTGTAATGTCTTTGATATTTTATTCTGCCAGTGGCGGAAGCTGCTTGAGGTTAAGAACAGTACGCAGGCACGCTTGACAGCTTGGCACAAACTGCGATACAAAATGCTGACGGCACCGAACAAGGAGAGGCCTTGGGCTGGCGTGGGCCGAGCGAAGTGCCCTGAGAGAAGACAGCTGCACGCACGGCATATCATTCACGTGAATCACTTACATGATCTTCTATTTTGCCAGTGGCGGAAGCTGCTTGAGGTTAAGAACAGTACGCAGGCACGCTCGACAGCTTGGCACAAACTGCGATACAAAATGCCACACTTCAAGTCAGAGGCCCAGTACTCAAGCATTGTGCTGGGGTAACCCCGCATACGTTTCCATCTGTCAGTGGATTGCTGTACAACGCAAGAAGAATGCTACGTTTCAGCAAGGAGAGCGCACAGCTCAGGCGGGTAGGCATTCTTAAGTTTAGTGTTGAACCCGCCTTCCGAAACGCCAGTCAGCTCCAGATGAGGCCTCCCGGAGAAAGAACATATCCCCTTGCCCTTGCAAACGAGCTTCTCGAGCCCAGGGTGAAGAAGACACTTCCAACATCGAATGCGAGTGCGGGCGCGAAACGGGCGCCCGCAAGCACAGTCGCCCACAACTCTATCACACACTTGCGGGAGGCGGGCAAGTGCTAGGCGATCAGGGCGAAGCCATAGGAAGCTTTGCCAAGGATTCTCTTCACCGCCTGGCACATTCATCTTGTAACAAAGTCTCTGGATGCGTTGTGGGGCCCACCCTAACTTGTTTGAGACTCGAAGGCTCTCAAAATCTTTACCCTCGAGGCCAGGAAGCCCAAGAGGAAACTCGGGGCTCCTGAGAGCCGAAGGCATGTTACTAGACAGCGGAGCCCTGCGAGCCCTGGAGTACCCGCTACAGGGCGCCCCCCCCAAACACGAGTTTTGACAAGGCCCGAAGAGATCCAGCCTCTGAGGGTCCTCCAGACAGCAGGGCGAGTTAAATCAAACTAATCTCCGTGTCGCACATCCCACTCCACCACCGCCTCCCCTCTACGACGCAAGTGTTTACTCAACCCACCACAGCCCGAGAAGACCTCCACGCATACTCGGGACTGATGCGGCGCGCTGCGAAGTGCCGCGCACAGGACCTGTTGAAGACGCCGATGTGATCCAGTCCTGCGGCTCGCAGCGCATCGCGGAGATGGTCGGACAACTTGCGAAGCTCCATCGACAGGCGTCCGTGCTTCACGTACTTGAGCACTGACTTGAACGTCTTCCATCCTCCGCGCTGCTGCGCGGCACGCAATCTTCTGGCGCCCGTGCTCCTGTCGTGGCTGGCCCCTCCATGCCGGAGGGAGTACGGTCACACCCAGAGCTGAGATCGCACTGTTGAAGTCTGCGGCCAGCCTGGTGTAGCTGAGGCCAAGGGACAGCTCGTCTGGCTCCCGCAACGCTTGGACGAAGAAAATCGACTCTACCAGCCATTGTTGCCGCTGCAAGTCCAGCGGCGCCGAGAGGTCGTACTCGTTCGTCTTGGTCGGGATCTGATACTCTGAAGCTCGGACCACAAACGTCAGAAACACTGAGGCGCCTCCTTCCTTCGGCAATGGCAGAACAACCTGGCGGGCTCGCAGGGCCAGCGCCTCCGATGGCCGCATGTACGTCTCGAACATTGGCAGGGCGGCCAAGCCACTGAGAGGCTTCCCATTCGAGCCGCCGCGGTCGTAGATCGCCTCCGCGTACTCCGCCAGCACCTCGTCCCAGGTCTGCCGAGGCCAGTCCGGGAGGCACACCAAGCCAGGCCAGCGCACCAGCCCAAGGACCGTCCCCAGGTACAGCTCCTGAGTGTGAGGGCGCACCTTCGCGGCCGCGAGGCGGGTCTGGCGGGGGCAGAGCTGGCGCCTCCTCTGGTCGAAGTCGCCCGCCAAGCGAACGCGGCCAAGCCTTGCGCGCCGCCCAGCCAAGTCTGGCCTGCTCGCGGGCCCAGCCAGAGCCGGCACCACGGCGCGCGCGGGAGCCCCCAGCGCCTCCGCCGGCGACCAACCTTTCGCAGGGCGCGCTCGGCGAGGCGAACGGCTCCTGCGCCAGCTGGGCGCGCGACGGCCTGAGGGGGAGCTCGCAGTGGCCCGCGGCGTCGGCGGCCTCGCCCGCAGCGCAGCCGCCTCCATCGGCCCCTCGGTCACGCCGACCTTGAGGCTGGAAACGGCGCGAGGGCTTGTCGCTTGGATTCCACTCTGAGGGGGGCCACCTGACCTGCATCTTCATATCTGCTGCGACGCCGATGGCAAAAATCAAACGACAAACGCCCAACAGACGATGGTTGGCAGCACGACCTTTGGCAGCAACAAGGGTGAGGGACATGTTATCTCCGAGAAACAATCGTCGCGACCCGTGCTGTCGAGCGTCCCGTGCCGCTCGCCGCACTGCCCAAATCTGGGCGGCCCCCTCCAGGCCATGAATGGCCTCCTTGCGCTTCCAGCGGCCGCAGCCCACCACGCGCCACGGCTGCGCCTGCCAGCGCGGCCAGCAAGCAGCAGGGCGGGCTCAGGGGCCCGCGCGATCTCCTGCTCCAACGCGCGCTCGCGGGGGGCCCCCTCGGCCGCCAGCAGCCCCCGGAAGCGCGCGCGCTCCGAGACTCGCCCAACTCGCTGTACACCATCGAGGTCCCACTCGGTCTCGACGATGCCGTAGCCCCAGGGCGACGCGTCAAAGCAGGTGACCATGTCGCTCCAAGGCAGCGTAGTGTCAGCGCGCAGGCACGGCAGCAAGGACTTCACCCAAGCCAGCTCGCGGCGCACGCTCTTCCAGAGCAGCTGCCGCTTTGTGTAGGATGCCCTCACGAACTCGTAGGAGGCGTGGAGCATGGCGAGGCCCTCTCGGCGCAGCATCAGAAGCGACACCAGGTGGCCGATGAGGCGCTCGAGCTCCTGGCCAGTCACCCTGGCCCGCTTCCCGAGCGCGTGCTCCAGCGCTCCATATATCCGCCAGAGCCGCCGCCCCAGAACCTGCCAGCAGCCAGTGCGCAGGTCGAGCTCGCAGCCCGGCAGCTCCCCGCGCTCGCAGGAGTCGGGGTCCAGCTCCGAGACCACTCCGCGCGCTGCCAAGGCCGACTGCGCGGCCTTGACCGCTGTGGCAGCGCGGCCAGGGGAAGATGACAGCACTGCAAAGTTGTCAATGTACAATATCTCGGCATCGTCAGTCTTCAGGTCAATCCCAGGGCACTTGTCAAGGCACCAAGGCTGTGACGGCAAAACTGATCTGACAATGTGCAGGTGAGCTTCTTGAATAAAGTGAACGGCCCAACTCCATCCCACGGGCACTACCTTGAAACGAAAGCGAACCTGGCCGCTCTTCAACGAAAGACCACAGGCACTTCGGACATCGGACGGCAGAAAGCGACTGTCAATCAAGGGCAAGTTGAAGTAGCGCCTGCACCAGGGTGGAAGATACTACTGATAGAAACAACAGTCAACGTCTCCAGAACTCATCCCGATCAGACTGACTCCAGACGCCTCCCGTGAAGATAGGGCCTCACCCGTCGCAAGAGCAGTATGTTCAGGAGTTGTGAAATGCATGTTCGGCGTTCTGGTATCGCATATGAGACGCAACCTCTTGTCCTTCCGCGCAACAAGCAAACAGGCCTGCCTCCTCCAGCACGGGCTACGAGCTGGCCTCAATGACTCCAGAAGCGAGAAGCTCCCCGAGCGCGTGGCCGTAGTCGTAGCCGAGCCGCCCGAGCTTCGGGCCCATGGCGCGAGGAGCACCTGCATCGCTAATTAATGCTGCCGCCTCCAAAGGGGAACGCAACAGCCCGCGCCCAGTCTCCAGCTTGCGATGCAGATCAGCAGGCAGGACGTCCAGAAGAGAGACTTTCCCGGCGCCAATCTTGGGGAGAGAGATGTTTCCCCGCTGGTAAACTGTTCGAGAACCTGAGGCCTCGACTTCTGAGTAGCCAGGCCTAAGACCCTGAAGCGTCGCCCACGCCTCATGGGTACTCGGGCGATCAACCGGCGGTGACCACTTCCCGTAGATCGCAGCCAAACGCCGAACGGCAACGCGTTGGGCCGCCGTCAGCGGGGCTGAGGCAGGCACATGACGACCCTGCCCGCCCAGCTCGCTGAGGGAGGCAATGCCATCGATCAACCGCATATCCTGACGCCTCCTGGTCGCAGCCCTGCGCTTCGCAGGCAGTGAAGTACCAAAAGCGGAACATCCACTAAGCAAAGACATCAGCTCTGAACCAATCGGGATCGGCAGCAGATCACAGTGGCGGCCTCCAACGCCGTCGTCACAAAACAAGGTGCAGACGATGCCGCACCTCCCCTTGAAGATAGTCGACCGCTCGGGGGCAGGCGGGCGACCAAGGAACCTCGGACTCAGGATGGGGCTACGCAGCCCCCTCACCTGCCTTGCCCTTGGCCTTTGCCTTGGCCTTGGGCGCAGGTGTATCCCCGACCGCCCCGCCACGAGCAAGAATCTTTCCTTCACGACCTTTGCGAAGTTCTTTGAGTACAGCAGCCTCCGATTGAAGGCGAACCGAAACCCAAGTCTGTAGCTCAGGAGACACCGTGGACCCTCCGCGGCCACGTTCTTGCCCAAGAAATATTCCACGTTCACCAAGCCAGGGCGATCCGCCCGAGTCACGGACTGCACCAGCCTCATGTTCACGGAGCCTGTTAGCGTAGACCTCTCCCCAGAGTTGGCACCTCCTCGAGATCGCTTCCGACGCGCCGAGCTCTCTTTCATTGAGCTGCTCTTTGGTCGCGCCCATCTCCAGGAGCTCAGACAAGCACTGATGGTCGTCGACCCCCGCATCCGCTGCGGTGAGGTTGCGCGTCTGCCCCCACCACATGCGGCGCGGGAGGGGGGTCTGGACCAGCCTCTTGAACTGCTGCGCGAGCCACGCGGTGGTGCGAGTGCCCAGTGCTGGCCAGTCTGGCATCGGGCTGGTGGACATGAGCTCGACCGCGTTCGCGAAGTCCCTGATCCTCGTGCCTGCCCTGTCGTAACGAACGGGCAGTGTGCGGAGGTCCTGCTCCTCAGCAGCCGTCTCATTTCGGCGGGTGCTAGCCCCCTCGAAGGTCCCCCACTTCGCGACCGCCAGCATGGTGCCATCCGCGAGCTCCACAATCCCGCGATCGCCGGCGGTGCTGCGGGGGACTGTCCCAGCGAGAAGCTCGTCACCTCGATGGTAACCAGCTCGGGGCTCCAGGACCATCCAGCGCACAACATCGCCAGCGTCAGCGCGAACGCCGAGAGCCTTCGCAGGCTCCGCGTCGCCGTCGGGGGCGGACAGCGGTGGCAGCCCCGCGCCTTCAGCAGGCAGTCCCCCCTCTCGGCGGACCTCATCAGCCAGTGCGCGCCCTTCATCGAGCAGCGCCGCCTCGTTACGTTGATACTTGTCCATGTCCGCGCGCAGGAGGTGGCCAGACAACTTTGTAGGAAGGCCTCCCATCGGGCCAACCAGGCACATGTGCATGGCCTCCGTGAGGTCCCCCTCGAAGATGTCAAAATGAGGAGTAACCACCGCCCGACGGGTGGGAGTGACATGGCCCAAGAGGACTAGCTCAAGCAAGAAGCTGTCCTCTCGCTCGTAGAAGACGAGCACGAGGGCCCACGCTCGAAGGCTTGCCAGCGCCTTCGCCGTCCGAGCCGCTGCCATGTACGTCGTCGAGCGCCTGGGCCCGATGGCGGCAGCTCCGCGCCGCGGCCTCCCGCGCGCAAAGGCCCAGCACCAAGCCGAGCGCCAGCGCGAGACCGAGCTCCAGCCCGGTGCGGCCTGACGGCGGGCAAGCGGGCACCTGGGCCGGCTGCCCGTGGAGGTGCTCTGGCCCACGCCTGTCGAGCTGGCCCTTCAGCAGCCCGATGAGCGCCTCGTCTGGCGAGGCGTCGAACTGGCAGCTTCAGTCGCGCGCGCGCGTGTGCTGGCCGCCACCGAGCCAGGTCCCGAGCGCCTGGCCGCCGACAGTGGCTGCCCAGCGCGACCCAGCGTCGATCAGGGCGGAGGCCATGCACAAGGCCCCTTCCCGAGCGAGGTGCCTTGAGAGAAGACAGCGGCACGCGCGGCAGATCATTCACGTGAATCACTTGCAGGGTCTCTCTTCGGCGGCCTCACAATCACCGTTCTGATCGCTCCGGGGCCTTGTGAGGGCCTGTTGGGCCTCTTTTTGGCTCAGTTGGGGCTTCCTTGGGAAATCTTGATGCCATGCATGCCGTTTTGAGGCTGTCTTGGGGGTCGCTTGGACCGTCTTGGGGCGTAACCGGAGGCCTTCTTGGCAGGTTTGGACGCGGAACGCTTCTGTAATGTCTTGGGTCTCTCTTCGGCCTCTCAATCACCGCTATGGTCGCTTCGGGGCCTTGTGAGGGCCTGTTGGGCCTCTTTTCGGCTCAGTTGGGGCTTCCTTGGGCAATCTTGGAGCCATCCATGCCGTCTTGAGACTGTCTTGGGGGTCGCTTGGGCCGTCTTGGGGCGAAACCGGAGGCCTTCATAGCTGTTTTGGACGCTGCTACGGCCCGAACAACGAATCTGCTGCAAATGCGCGCTTTCCGAAGGAAATGAAAGGATTTGTGCATTCTGGGGGCCCTGTTAAGGGCCTCCTGGGCCGTCTTGGAGGCCTCTGGAGGCCCTCTGGGTCCCTTTTGGAGCGCTTCTGTAATGTCTTGGGTCTCTGTTCGGCCTCTCAATCACCGCTCTGATCGCTTCGGGGCCTTGTGAGGGCCTGTTGGGCCTCTTTTTTGCTCAGTTGGGGCTTCCTTGGGCAATCCTGGGGCTATCCATGCCGTATTGAAGCTGTCTTGGAGGTCGCTTGGGCCGTCTTGGGGCGAAACCGGCGGCCTTCTTGGCTGCCAAAACCCGAACAGCGAATCTGCTGCAAATGCACGCTTTCCCTGAGGGAATGAAGGGACTTGTGCATGCTGGGGGCCCTGTTGAGAAACCCGCGATCCTGGGGGTCCAGTTCGGGGGGGGGGCGGGTGAAGCGGTTCCCCCCCCCCCCCTTGTAAACATAAAAGAAAAATGATATCTCTCTGCGCTGCCCCCCATCTCCGCCGTGCCTCCCACGAGCCTGCGGAAGTGGCGACAGTTGCACAACTCGCGGCCACTTGGGGGGCAACGAGGTCTCGGCTGGATCCGCGCGGCCCCCGACTCCGCTGGACCTCCCAAGAGCAAACGGGAATGACGACGGTTGCGCAGTTCGCAGCATATCAGGGAGCAGCGGAGTCCCGTCTGGGTGTGCGCACTCCCCAATTTCGCCGTGCCTCCCAGGAGCAAACGAAAGTGGTGACAGTTGCGCAGCTCGCAACCACCCAGGAAGCAGCGAGGTCTCGTCTGGGTGCGCGTGGCCCCTGACTCGGTTGGACCTCCAAGGAACCCTCGAAAGTGGCGACAATTGCGCAGTTCGCAATCCCCTAGGGAGCAGCGAAGTCACGTCTGGGTACGCGCGGCCCCCGACTCCGCCGTGCCTCCCAGGAGCCCACGAACATGGCGACATTTGCGCAATTCACAAGCACGCAGGGAGCAGCGAAGTCCCGTCTGGGTGCGCGTGGACCCCGACTCCGCTTTGCTTCCCAGGAGCCCACGAAAGTGGTGACAGTTGTGCAACTCACAACAACTCAAGGAACTGCGAAGTCCCGTCTGGGTTCGCGTCTTCCGCTACTCCGCCGTGCCTCCCAGGAGTCCACCATAGTGGCGACAATGACGCAGCTCGCAGCCACCCAGGGAACTGCGAGGTCCCGCCTGGGTCCGCGCACTCCGCTACGTACTCACTCCGCCGTGCCTCCCAAGAGCCCACGAGAGTGGCGACAGTTGGGCAGTTCGCAGCCGCCCAGGGAGCAGCGCAGGAGGAGGCAGAGGGAGGGGGGGGCGAGGAGGAGAGGTGGGGTCGACAGTGCTCGCTCTATTCGCAACGAGAACCCAACACACAGGAGGGTTGGGGAAACCTTTTTTGGTCACCGCGGGAGGCGCCGCTTCGAAAGACCATCACTCCATGGGCCCGCCATGCAAGCGATAAAATCCCAATTTGAAGAGGAAATGGCTTGCATCCTCCTAGCCCGTCATCGGGGCTGCGAGTAAGCATGATGAAACAATTCAACAAGGTGTCCAATGAGATCCCCGTTTGGGAAAGAGTAGGGGAACAAACAATGACATAAACAGAAACAACTCGGAGGTCCACGCGGACCCGGTCGGATTTCTCGGATCGGCGCAGGACCCTCGGATCGGATTTCTCGGATTTCTCGGATCGGCGCTGGACCCCCCTGGCGGCGCCTCTGGCGCCGCCCCTGGCGCGCTCCGCGCGCCAGGGAGGGGGTCCAGCGCCGACCCGAGAAATCCGAGCGGACCTCTGAGTTTTTCTGTTTCTTCTGCCATCGCTCGTTCCACTAACGAGGGCCCCCCCCCCCCCTCCGTTGCGACTGCTGGTCAACTTGACACTTCTGGTCTTAGGTCGGGCCTGTCCCCCTACAGGGGGATTCTGGGCGAAGAATAAAAGATACTCAGAAGAGGCTCCCCTGATGCTCAAAAATACCCAAAACGTCGTCCACAGAACATGTTTTGACTATTTCTGAATCTTCCCCCTGTGCAGGGACACTGGCCATCGCTCGGACGTCCAGTCCCTGTGTTTGTTTCGGTTTCGCGCGTGGTTTTTTCGCAGGAGGATCCAGGATGCGCCTTAATAATCCCCGCCGAGGAAAAGTGCACACGTCCGAGCGATACCAAGGACAGGCCCGACAAAAACACTTCTGGTCAGGAAGCCCGAGGAGATCTCAAGCGAGAGCCCCAAGATAATCCCCTAATGCGCAACAGATAATCAAAGCATCGTCCCCATCCCATAACATGTTTGGACTATTTTTGAATATTCCCCATGTGGAGGGACAGACCCGACAAAGACACTTCTGGTCAGGAGGCCCCCCTAATGCTCAAAAATAGGCAAGTTATCGTCCCCACAACATTCTTTGACTATTCTTGAATCTCCCCCCCTGTCGAGGGACAGGCCCGACAAAAGCACTTCTGGCCAGGAGGCTCCCCTAAGGCTCGAAAATAGGCAAGTTATCGTCCCCTATAGCTGTTTTTGACTCTATTTGAGTCTCCCCCCCTGTCGAGGGGCAGGCCCGACAAAAGCACTTCTGGCCAGGAGGCCCGAGGAGACCTCCAGAGAGAGCCCCACAGCTGCAAGGGACCACCGCCCTCCGCCCGTGCAGAGCTGCCGCATCTGTGCTGAAGCCGCTGGTGCTGCTCTCGCCGGCCCCAGCGGGCCAGAGGCGTGCAGACGCTGAGCTATAAGAATGAAGAAAATAGCTCAAAAATAGCCCAAACATCGTCCCCATGACATGTTTTGACTCTTTTTGAGCCGCGGATGCTTCACTCGCCGGCCCCGACGGGCCAGGGGCGCGCAGAGCTTGAGTTAAGCGTGTTCCCAGGCAGGATCGCGCCGTAACAACAAACATCAGGACGGCAAGTTCTTCAGTAGTTTCGGCCCTGGGGGGCCCTCGCCGGGCCCCGGGACCGTCCAAAAACAGCTCTGGAGGAAAAACCGGCCCCGGGGGAAGGGTCTGGACTTCCGGGGACGCCGTCCTGAAAAAATCAGGACGTCGCATGTCTGGGTTCCTAGTCCTCGCAAGAAGCTTCCCAGAGGCCTCAAAACTGCTCCCCCGAGGCTCCCGAGAGCCCTCCGAAGAGACCCCACGAAGCATCCATGAGGACTTTGACCCACAACTCAGGTACGTCTCGAAACTCTGCTGGAGCTCTCTTGAACCATCTTGGCGCCCTCTGGGACAATCTATTGGCTCCCTTCGACAGGGTGCGAACCACATCTCCAAAGATCTCCTCGAAGACCGTCCTGCCTGCACTACCGTTCCCCCTGGTTGCGAACGCCTACAACGCAGCCGCAGTGATGCGAAATGGGCAGGCAGAGTGAGCGAAGCCTTTAACTATAGATTTAAGATGATGCCAGCTGAAATCCCCCTCTTGAGAAGGAACCTTACTCCGTCCTCGTAACTGTTAAAACATTGTGCGACGAATGTGCGCGGTGCTCAGGCGAGAGCCCCACTTTGGCAAGGAACCGCCCTCCAACCTTGTAATTGTTGCAAGCGTTGAAAACGAATGTGCGTGTCGCTCAGGCGGGAGCACCATTTTGAAAAGGAGTCGCCGTCCATCCTTCTAGCAATTGCATCAAAGAAGAACCACATCTGTTCGCGGTCCTGTGGCGAGAGCCTCATTTTGAAAACGGCCTATCTTCCGTCCTTGTATTGGCCCTGCCGCGGCCCCAATCAGGGCCACACTTTTCAAAAGCAATCCATACCAGTGCTGAGCAATGGGAAGCATGCAACGCAAATCAATGGCTTGGTCTCGTTGCTTGGCATTGCTTGGCATTGCCAGGTATTGTTGGTTTGAACTGTTTTGCATTGCCTGGCGTTGTTTGTTATTGCTTGGCATTGCTTGGCACTGGCGTTGCGTTTTGCGTTGCTTGGCATTGCGTGGCATGGCTCCAAAACGTTTCTTGGCATTGCTCGGCATGGCTTTGTATTGCCTGGCATTGCTTGGCATAGCTTAGAATTGCTTGGCACTGCTTGGCATTGTTTCGCATGGTTTGGCGTCGCTTGGCATGGCTTGGCATTGCTTGGACTGTATTGGCATTGCTTGGTATTGCGTTGCATCCCTTGGCGTTGCTTGGCGTTGCTTGACATTACTTGGCAATGCTTCGCGCTGCTTGGCATTGCTTGACGTTGCTGGGCATTTCTTGAAATTCCTTGGCGCTGCACGGGCAGAACCTGGGCAACGCCGGGCAGCCCGGAGGAACGCCTGTGCCGAAAGGCCCCGTATCCACCGGCTTCTTCCACTAACAAGTAGAAGCCCCTTATAGTTGGGGCGTCGACAAAAGGAACTATACATCAGGATCGAAGCTGTTTTTTCCATGAGTTATACTTCGATTTCGCGTCGATAGCCGAAGGAAAACCTGAGGCAAACAGTCAAACAACTAAGGAAAATTGCCCCTCCCAAACGAAAATGGTTCCTTCTTCAGCTCCCCGACTTTAGTCAACGCCTCATCGGGGAATCGTTGCGAGCTTTCAAAGCGAATGCTATTTTGAAAACGAGCTGTGCTCCATTCTTGCAATTGCTGGGAATCTCAAGCTTCATGATCGTAGATCCTTGCTTGCCAGGGGTGGCAAGGAGTGTAGTGAGACATTTGGCTGTCCCTCTTCCCCGTTCCCCTCCCCTGCGGTCCAACATGCCATTTGGGGGGGCCGGGGCCCCAGAGCTCGTCAACGCTTTCTCCCAAGACGGCCAACACATATTGTCAAGATCAACTAGAGAGCGTCGAGCTG